AAGTGCTATGCTAAAATGCACTCGAAAACCTTTATAGTGCCATAGAGCATGTCCAGAAACACAAACAACACACACAGGCTGTAGCACACATCTCGGAATGAGATAGCCACAACACAACAGATATTTCTGCTTTCATCCCGAGAAATCCTGAATATTTGTGGTCATTCTCTGGTGAACATGAACCCACACTTCCCCGTGAAAGGTACATTAGGTGCAATCACACTGTCTTTGTGCTCGGCACATGCCTGCAATGTCCTGTTCATCACATGAAATCTCACGCTTTCTCAGGTCTACGCACACTCCACCACAGGTACACACACACCGTCGCATGTACACACACACCATCACATGTACACACACACACACACCATCACATGTACACACACACCATCACATGTACACACACACACACCATCACATGTACACACACACGCACACACACGCACCGTCACATGTATACACACACACACACTCCAGTGGACGCAGCGCACCCCTTTCCTAACACGAGTGAGAGCTTTGCTCTGACCTAACCAGTATGGAGAGGGAGAAGCCCAGAGTCGCTTGTTACCTTTCGACTGCGTGGGACCTTTGGCTAAAAGCACAAACAAAGGAACAGTGATGATGAACAACGCAAGCAGAAGAGTGCTGAGCACAAGCTCCAGAGTCGTGAATTTCTTCAGTTTCTTTCTTGCCATCTATCAAAAAAACAGATTTGAATATGTGACATTTATTTAATACATAGCTAGCAGATTTTGAATGGGAAAGTTCAAGTGTGGACAATGAATAAGATAGCAAACTGAACCTCCATGTGCCCATCACCTAAGTTAAAAAGTAAGCTGATGGCCACTTTGTCTTTATTCCTAGTCACACCCCTAATCCTAGGATATTTTGAAGCCATCCTGGAGTTTCAGAGCTTTAATCTGAACATATTGAGATGTATTTCCTTAAAATGTAAGAAAATTTACAAAAGACAAGCAGAATGGCATTGTCACACCAAAAAAAATATGTATAATAGCTTCTTACTATCATCAAATATTTAGTCAATATTGAAGTGTCCCTTGCATCTGATGAACTTTTTGTTTGTTCTACTCTCCTACGGATGCATGAAGATTTCTGTGTTGCCATTGATTTGTGTCTAAGGTTTTTTTTTAATCAATAGGCTTTGTTCTATAGATTTTCTCCACAGTCTGGATATTGTTGATTGAATACTCATGGATGTTAACATACTGAGGGCCTGAAACTAAAACTGGTACAAATAAGGAGTCCCATTGATGTAACCCTAGCAGCTTCAATTATTTTCTTGTTTCCTGGTATAACATATATCCTAGGTTCAACTTGTACATTTCCTACCCCTGATCTGGATTCAAACGTGTGTGTGTGTGTGTATGTGTGTGTGTGTATGTGTGTAGGTGGGAACAGTCTAGGGGGCCGGCTCCGTGGCTCACTTGGTTAATCCTCCGCCTGGGGCACCGGTATCCCATATGGGCGCCGGGTTCTAGTCCCGGTTGCCCCTCTTCCAGTCCAGCTCTCTGCTGTGGCCCGGAGTGCAGTGGAGGATGGCCCAAGTGCTTGAGCCCTGCACCCGCATGGGAGACCAAGAAGAAGCACCTGGCTCCTGGCTTCGGTTGGCACAGCGCCGGCTATGGCGGCCATTTGGGGAGTGAACTGACGGAAGCAAGACATTTCTCTCTGTCTGTCTCTCTCACTGTCTATAACTCTACCTGTCAAATAAATTAAAAAAAAAAACACACACACACACACACAGTCTAGGGGAGAGCTGGTGAAATAAACGCTTGAATTCCAGAACAGAAGGCACACGGTGCATCTTCCTGGCCAGTGGTTGTCGTTAAGGTCTCCCGAGGGATCCTCAGGGTATGCAATCTCAGAAAGTATTCAGAAGTTATGCACTGACGTGCTGCCGTGGTCTGAATATCTGAGTCCCTCCAAAGTTCCTGTGCTGGAGCATAATCCCTGCGAGAGAGTATTAGGAGGTGGGGCCCTCTGCAACGCGATTAGGTTCTGAGGGCGTGGCCAATTCCAGTTGCCGATGCTGTTCTGCCCTGACTTGACCGCCTGTCTGCTAGGTGCTTTATGGCCTCCTGTGCCAGGTGTCTCACTCATTACCTGAGACGCACGAGGACCCCTGGGCAGCAGTCTCGCCCACTCAAGACCTACTCTCTTCACCAACCCTGCCCTCCTGTGTGCCCCGCCCCCTGCCTTGTCAATCACCTCTGCTTTGTTCAGCAGAGCACACACCTCCTTCATGCCTGTCTGACCTGGATGACTTGAGACCTCCTTGCATCCCCGTTCTCCTCTGCACCGATGTTTCCTCAGCCTCCCTCCCCAGTCTGAAGAAGCCTTCCTCAGTCTGCCACCCGAGGTTTCGATGACAAGAGGACTTGCGTCCCATACATTGATAGAGAAATTGCTGATAGCAAATGCAATTCCTTCCTACCAAGCAAAAGAACGTGGAACTGTGGGAGACGCCTCTCCGTAGCGAAGACTGCCTTCGTTTTCCTTAGAATAAATTACTCCAACATGAGTCTTCCCTGCCTAGCTCTGTCCAACACCTCACATTCCCAAAGGCTTGATAAGAAATCCGGTACTATTAATCTTGCTTGTAAAGTTCCATAAATATTATTAATCTTCGTATTTTATATAATTGAATTAAGTAATAACACAGAGTTACCTTACAACCACCCAGAAGGAGAGAATTTGTCAGAATGCCCAGACAAGTGACTATGTCCCCCTTTGATGCTGGCTAATAGTTGTGAGATGGGAGATTGTTCTTTACACTCATGCTGTTTATTTTTCTAAATGTTTATTAACACACTGTTAGACACTATGAAGTAACACCCACACATGACTGAGGACACCACCATGTGCTCAATGAAGCTTTAGTCAGAACTATTACAATTATACCATAACCCAGAGAATCCATTTATAAAAATTCATCCCATAAATGCATGTGCACATTGGATACTCATGTAGGTATAGATAAAGGATTTCATGACATTATATATAACAAAAAAATGAAGACACTATAGATGAGTACAGAGAGGGCATTGGGCCAATATGCAAAATTAAATTTTAAAGTAAATAAAATTTAAAGTAAAATCATAGGATGTCATTTTTTGTATAAGTCCACAGGGTCTTTGCTACTGCTTCTTTCAAGAGGTGGAACCGAAAAAAACAGGTGCAACCACCTCCCCTGGAAGACAGACTGGGCACACGGGCTCCCCTCTAGCAAGCATAACATGGCGAGGGCCATGGCCTTACTCTCCACCTAGGTTATGAAAGCTCTGCTCTTCTCCTCACTCTTTCTCTTGGGTCACTTCTTGAAGAAGCCAGTGTCCAGTTCGTCATTACACTGAAGCAGGCCTATAGAGATTTCCAACAGATGGAGTAGACCCAAGTCTCTACCAGCGGCCACGGCAGTGGGCCTTCTCAGATGGAGGTCCTCCACCTCTACGCAGGCTTCATGAGACTGAAGTCCAGGCTGACACCCTGACCTCATGACGGACCCTGAGTTAGCACCACTCAGCTCACCAACGGCCACATTTACAACCCCTAGGAGGGAATATGATATATACTGTTGTTCTGAGTTACTAATGATTGAAGTGATTTATTACCCACAAATAGATAACCAATACCCAGAAGTGGACATAACTTTTGAGTCAAATGTCATTGGTATCTTTTATTATCTAGGAGCCTCTTATCAAATGCCCTTTGGCTTCATATAGGCAAATTCATACCTGCTGTATGGAACACTAATACCGACTTTCTAACTATACAACCGCACCTTCAGCCACTCCAGCACTATCTGATTGGTCTACACAGGGACCATGACCGTGACACCTACTACCTCAGTTAGGAATGCAGTTTAAGAAAAACCAAGATGGGACCGCCATTGAGGCATAGCAGGTTAAGCTGCTAGTGAACTCCCGAGGAAGCCCCCGCTGCTCCACTTCCAATCCAGCTCCCTGCTCATGTGCCTGGGAAAGCAGCAGAAGATGGCCCACGTTCTTGGGTCCCTGCCATCCACGTCAAAGACCAGGATGGAGTTCCTGGCTCTTGGCTTTGGTCTGGCCCAGCCCCAGCCACTGTGGCCATTTGTGAAGCACACCAGTGATGGCAGCTATCTCTCTCTCTCTCACTCTTTCTCTCTGCTTTCAATAGAAAATAAAGAAGTATTGAATAAAGAGAACAACTAAGATCAATAAAAATGGAAAATTTAAAAAGGAGGTAATTTAAATAGTGTAAAATACTTTAAAAAAACAGGAACTTTTTTAAACCTCTACATGACAATCTGTCATCCATCTTTGAATATTCTTTGCTGCTCAACATGTAATTGTGCAGTTCAATGATAAAGATTGTAACAGATTACAAAGCTTGAACAATTGTACTATGAGATTTCCACAATCCATTGCAGGCAATACTCTTAACAACTCCAGGTTTATGACTGCTACTATCCTGCTTTACCATAAGGAAATTAAACTTCTTTGAGTGCTAATAACCTGTCTGATGCCACACAGCTGATAGAGAGTAAAGTCACAATTTGAACACCTGCACTTTGGACTCTTCAGTCAGAACATACAACCATACCATATACTTTATGCTATAATGTTCCACAGAGTACACAAGCTACGGCTTTCTATGAAATTAGAATTTTATCAACTACCATTTGGTTCACCAACCATGTGTTTAAAATGTGCTTGGGCTAGGCTAAGCACTTAGAGGGACTACTTCATCTGGTCCTTACAACCACCTCATGAGTAGGGATTATTATCACTGTTTCACAAACGAGTTAACTGAGCCATGGAGTTAAGGTTGCCTGAGTTGGTAGCATAGCCAGTCTTCAAACCAGTCGCTCGAATCCAAAGCCATTGCCCTTAAGGCTAATGCTATGCCATCTCCTACAAGATGACACACATGTAGATAAAAAAAATGAGTAATAAAGACTTCTAAATTATAGAAGGTAAGACATGTGGGAGACGCTTCATCCTTCCAAAGACAACCACAAAAGTAAAAGGCTTATACAGGGGTCACTACTATGTGCCAGCAGGTTAGGCGGCCACTTGCAATGCCAGCATCCCGTATCAGAGTACCAGTTTGAGTCTTGGCTCCTCCATGCTTCTTATCCAGCTTCCTGCTAATTTGCCAAGGAAGGCAGTTGATGATGGACCAAGGGTTTTGGCTCAATGCTCCTGGATTCAGCCTGATCCAGCCCTGGCTGTCGTAGCCATTTGGGGAGTGATTGAGCAGATGCAAGATACTCTCTCTCTCTCTCTCTCTTGCTCTCGCTCTCGCTCTTGCTCTCACTCTTCCTCTTTATTTCTCTCTCTCTCTCTCTCTGTAACTCTGCCATTCAAATAAATAAATAAATCTTTTAAAAAAAGGCTTACAGAAACAAAGGAAGTAAAAATTATGCAACATTGCTGTCTCCACCGCAGCTGGGGGTTTTAAGGTGTCCTGTGGCCATCTACAGGACCAATTTACTTGAAGTTTTTGGCCCACAGCACTTTTTTTAAATTCTGGGAGACCAAGGAGAACAAGCTATTGTCAAGTTCTCAAAGCTATGTCTTTGAAGAAAAGGGAAATTTGCTTGTAGCTTATTTATTCCTTATTCACTTATTTATTAAGCATCTAACATGCAAAGCATTTTTCCAAGAATTGGTTATACAACAACAAACAAAAGAGATAAAAATTTCTGCCCTCATGGCATTTAATGTTTTGTAGGAAGAAAAAAGAGACAATAAACAAAATAAATAAACATGCAGTACGTAAGAGCATGTAAGTGCTATGAAGGAAGACAAAACAGGGTAAAGAAGAGGAATGTGAGGGTGAGGGCTGCAGATTTTTTTTTTTTTTTTGACAGGCAGAGTGGACAGTAAGAGAGAGAGACAGAGAGAAAGGTCTTCCTTTGCTGTTGGTTCACCCTCCAATGGCTGCCGTGGCTGGCGCACTGCAGCCGGCACACTGCGCTGATCCGAAGCCAGGAGCCAGGTACTTCCTCCTGGTCTCCCATGCGGGTGCAGGGCCCAAGGACCTGGGCCATCCTCCACTGCACTCCCGGGCCACAGCAGAGAGCTGAACTGGAAGAGGAGCAACCGGGACAGAACCGGTGCCCCAACTGGGACTAGAATCCGGGCTGCCGGCACTGCAGGTAGAGGATTAGCCTAGTGAGCCGCAGTGCCAGCCCAAGGGCTGCAGTTTTAATTAAGCTGATCAAGGAAAATCTCACTGAAAAGGTACAATTATTATTGTGCTTAAATCATGCAGACTCAACAATATTTTTTCTTATTGAATTATATGGTTATATAAAGTGCCAAAATTCATTATCCTGATGCTATTACAGTTCCCTATGCAAAGTCAACAAGTCAGCCACAAAAGGGACAAATTATTAAAATGGTCATCTAAATTAATCTAGAAAGAGGGTTAATTGTTTCTTTGCTGAATTATAACTATTTTCTGATTTGTATATGCAGCTCTGGGCCATTCTTTTAAAATTCTTTGTTAATACAAAGTAAGATATCCAGTGCAAAACAAATGATTCATTTTATAGAGACCAAAAAGAACTTCAAAGTGGAGTTCAGCATGCAATGGTGCTTCCCCAAAAATACTTAGTAATATTTAGCACATCCCACTGTCTCCTACCTAGGTAGAAAATAGGAAGGAAAAGAGCAACTAATGCAATTTTTTTGCAAGTTTGGTCACATCCAAAGTGCAGAGATCGAAGAGTCAACCCTGACCACACCCAGCTGTGTGACCTCAGAACTACCACTCAGTCTCCCCAAATGAAACTCAAGGGATTATCTCTAGAAGATGGCTGGGGCCTTCCACGACCAGCACAGCAGGAATCTCAGAACTGTCTTCCTCGTCATGTCCACAGCTACCACCTGAACCAATTTTACTTACTTATTTTACCTATCTGAAAGCCAGAGAGACAGACCTCCCATCTGCTGGTTCACTGTTCAAGTGCTTGAGACGACTCTGCACGGCCAGGCCATTCAGAAGCCAGGAATCCAGAATTCAGCCTGGGTCTCCCACATGTGTGACAGGCAGGTAAGTACTTGAACCATCACCTGCTGCTTCCCAAGGTACTCATAGCAGGAAGCTGGAATCAGGAGCAAACCCGGGACTCCAACATGGGATGAGGGCATCCCAAGTGGCGCGTCAACTGCTGTACCACTCACCTCGAACTAACTCTATGTGGAAAACTGTTTCTAATTTCTTCTAAATTCATCTGCTCCTTAGTATTCCACACTGATAGAGCAGTTTGCAATTTTATCAGCTCATCAAAATTCATGTAAAAGGAATGTCTTAATTTAAAAAAAGCATCTTCTGAAACTGTAAATAGCAAAGAACTGTCTTAAATTCGGGGTACAGGATAGAATGTCTTCCTACCACCTTTGATCCCTGGTGGCACAGGGACCTATCCCGCACAATTAATCAAAGTCTCTCTCCTTTTCCTTCTCTCTCTGCCCACCTACACCCATGCACTCACTGTTCCCCACCAGGACACCAAACCAGTAGACAGACTGTAGATCCAGAGGTCAAAAGCCACAGGTGGTACCTATCTCAGGAACCTCCTGGTAGCCTTCTCCAGAGAGAACCATGGGGATTGACCCTGACCGCTTTCCCTGTCCCCCGTTGGAACGTTTGCTCTTCATCTCAATCTAGCTAGGTTCTAGTGTTACTGGAAAATGGTGGCAGAGAAATTAATGTTACTTTGGACAAAAGCCATCCAACAACCTCATTTACAAGTCTCCATCCTGTCCGGCCTGCTAAGCGTGCCCGGTAACTTGTCTTCAGAAGAAGCTGTGAGCTCAGGAAGAGGTCCCTGCTATTATGGTAAATCTGGAGATTCCAAAGGAAGGAGGGTGGCCTGTTTTTTCTTGCTAAAGATAACATTTTGGTGAATGAAATATTTTACACCCCAAATTCCACTGGGATCCACCTGATTACCTATTAATCCATCTGACTCCTCACACTAGCAGCTAGTAGGGACCCAATCAGAGGGGTCAACAAGCCCCCATGGCCCTCCCCTCTTCCTCCCTGACAGTTCTGTTCTATTTCACACATGACTGCCAGTCCAGACACCACATCTTTCCCTTCCAGATTCCGCATGAAATCTCCTGTTTTCCAATGCACACCAGCCCATCCACACATCCCACTATTATACGCACTCTCAGGCTCTTCCCTAAAATGATTATTTGATCAATAAACGCACAAAATCCATAAAAGTGTAATAGATTCTGGACTTTCTAATTGCAGTTGACTCTCTGATCACCACTCCTCAATCACAGCTCCACATTCTCTTAGAAAGAATGTCCCCAAATGCTCTGATCTCATTCTCAGATGTTAACTCCTTTTCCCCACGTCTCGCACCTCATATCCAAAATAAGAAAGACTTTCTTCCTGCTACCTCATTCTGCATATCAAATAAGCCATAACACCTCATAGAAATGCAAGCACACGGGTTTATCTACAAGCAGGCATGTAAAACCAGCCGCGGTACAGAGAAATACACTCACATGTGCACACATACACAAGCACTAAGAAAAAGAGAAACAACTATGGTTTTGGTGTGCTTGCATAATTTTGTTTTTAGGTTTCTGTGGATGTGGCTTATTTTTGTTCATGATTAACAAATTAAAAAGGACGTTTTGGCCAAAGGAGATCACACATTTCCATGCACTTGCACGCATATGTCTGCAGTCATAAATGAACATGAAACTACAAACCTACCTCATTCCTCCTGCTGCTGCTCCTACAGGCTCTGAAGGGTGGCTTAGCCTAGCAACAAAAGCAGAGCACAATCCGCAAAGAGCAACCCAGGCCCTGGTAACTATTTACTGGCTTATCAAGAAAATGTTAATGGATGTCAAACACAAATGACTGCTCAGCTCTCCTTCCCAGGACCAGAACTGCAGGTTAATTAGTAACCAAGGTCTTCCTCAAAGGAGAACATCCCTAAGAACTTGCACACCCCCGCCCCCAGGACCCATTCATCCGCTCTGGGCACTAAATGAGCATTAACGGGCGAGGGCACTGAAAGCCTAAGAGAAGGCAGGACTGACTCAATTTGTAGATTTAGAGCAAAAATAAATAAATGGCCTGGCACCCCAGAAGGACCCAGATGTCTCCTAACGCCTCAGCAATCCACCAGCATTGAATGGCACAATCTGCTGATAGGCGATTGAAGCAAATTGCTTTGAAAATGCCTTAAAAATAATTTTCTTCTCTCTTCGTTACTTTGAGAGGTGTCCTTAAGCTTGTTTGGGCTGTAGTTGGTGACCATCATGGACCTCTGTTAGAATCATGTCTTTACACTCATGAGATAAAATGAATAAGGATGCAAAGGCGACCAATGACAACACAGTGCAGCTACTGTGCCCCTTCAGTGACATGCTGACAATCTGGCACAGGTCTAACAGCTGTTGCAATATGCAATTCAGTGGTAAGTACAAATGTCTTAATATTATCATTGTTAGAACCTGCTAGGCCACTGAGGCCCAAACCCCTTGGCCCAATAAAAATAAGCACAGGTGATGTAAAGCCCCTCACCTGGGACATTCCAACCTGCCAAAAGAACACACGCGCGGTAAACTTGACCATGGAGCCTTTCTGCACGTCCCTACCCCCTCAGCAGGCTCCATGTGGTGCTCAAACAAACAGCTGAAGAAGGACTCTGCCTCTGTTCAAGGGGACGAGGCCTGGCTTCAAACCCCCGCCTGAGCCCCTCCCCTCCTTACCCCTAGCCTGTTCCCCCTTTTTTCTACTTTAACTGGCTACCTTCTCACCTTCTCTGTACTCTGAAGTCCTAAAACCCAACATTTCGGCTCTGAAACCTGGTAGAAGGTGAATTCAAGGTGACTAGTTCATGGGGAACCTCCACCTCGCCATGGCTCCTTGACACGGCACACCGGTGCCAATCCCGGGAAGAGAGGCGCGTCCCTTCGAGTCCTGCGGGAGGTCGTACTGTATTCAGCACTCAGGCTGTCCAGAAATCCTGGCTCCAGCTCAGGGTTCCTCCTCTGGGCTTGGGGACTGTCCTTCAGGCCTGAGCTGCTCTCACTCCAGGGACACTTTGGCTTAAGAGACTGTGTTTTAAGATGGAGAAAGAGGCCGGCACTGCGGCTCACTAGGCTAACCCTCTGCCTGCGGTGCCGGTACCCCAGGTTCTAGTCTCAGTTGGGGCGCCGGATTCTGTCCCGGTTGCCCCTCTTCCAGTCCTGCTCTCTGCTGTGGCCCGAGGGGGGCAGTGGAGGATGGCCCAAGTGCTTGGGCCCTGCACCCCATGGGAGACCAGGAGGAGGCACCTGGCTCCTGGCTCCTGGCTTCGGGCCGGCGCCGGCCATAGTGGCCATATGGAGGCTGAACCATCGGAAGGAAGACCTTTCTCTCTGTCTCTCTCTCTCACTGTCTAACTCTGCCTGTCAAAAAAAAAAGGTGGAGAAAGAGACATAGAGGATGCTCATCTCTCTTCCTCCTCCTCCTCCTCCTATTTTTGGCCTCAAGAACTTGCCCCACTCCTTTCCACCTGTCCCTACACAGTAGTCTACGTCCCCAAATTCTCCGAGACTTAGACAAGTTCAACAATTGCAATGGAAAAATGGCCTGAGGTTCCCTATGTGCAGATATTTCTCTCTCCATAATTACCCTTCGCTCTGTCACACATCAGATTCTCCTCCTTAGCGAAGAAGTCAGAACCCCGCCTCCTGAGCCTCTGAAGTGTAGCCTGACTTTGACCCTATTGACCATGCTCCTCCTCCCCTCCGCGTCCTCATGCTGCCCCGGCACCCAGCTACGAAACTGCCCTCATGTTCCAAACCTCCTTCCCATGGCGTCTCCTCCCCAGTCTCCCTGCTCCTCCCCAGTCTCCCTGCTTCTCCCCAGTCTCCCTGCTCCTCCCCACATCTCCCTGCTTCTCCCCAGTCTCCCTGCTCCTCCCCAGTCTCCCTGCTTCTCCCCAGTCTCCCTGCTCCTCCCCAGTCTCCCTGCTTCTCCCCAGTCTCCCTGCTCCTCCCCAGTCTCCCTGCTTCTCCCCAGTCTCCCTGCTCCTCCCCAGTCTCCCTGCTTCTCCCCATCTCCCTGCTCCTCCCCAGTCTCCCTGCTCCTCCCCAGTCTCCCTGCTCCTCCCCAGTCTCCCTGCTTCTCCCCAGTCTCCCTGCTTCTCCCCATCTCCCTGCTTCTCCCCAGTCTCCCTGCTCCTCCCCAGTCTCCCTGCTTCTCCCCAGTCTCCCTGCTCCTCCCCAGTCTCCCTGCTCCTCCCCAGTCTCCCTGCTTCTCCCAGTCTCCCTGCGCCTCCCCAGTCTCCCTGCTCCTCCCCAGTCTCCCTGCTTCTCCCCATCTCCCTGCTCCTCCCCAGTCTCCCTGCTTCTCCCCAGTCTCCCTGCTCCTCCCCAGTCTCCCTGCTTCTCCCCAGTCTCCCTGCTTCTCCCCATCTCCCTGCTTCTCCCCAGTCTCCCTGCTCCTCCCCATCTCCCTGCTCCTCCCCAGTCTCCCTGCTCCTCCCCAGTCTCCCTGCTTCTCCCCAGTCTCCCTGCTCCTCCCCAGTCTCCCTGCTCCTCCTCTCCACTACACACTCATGCTCCTTCAAGCCGCCCTCTGAGGAACCATCTCCTCCTCCCCTCACCTCCTTCTCTCATCCATGCGCCCATTTTCACTCTCAACGACCGCCCCCAGCTGCTTGCTCCCCACCACCTGTCCTCACTGTCCCCACCCGTGAAGCAGCTGAGGCTGTTCACGCCTTTACTGAGACTCACATCGGGCTTGTCAGTGGACTGTCTCTATCAAACCGTGTAGCCTTGCCTGCCCCAGTCTAAATAACTGTCTCCCTCCCCTCCACCCTCCCCCTCTCCCCATCCCCTCCCCTTCCTCCCTTCCCTCCCCTCCCCCCTCCCCCCTCCCCCTCTCCCCCTCCTCCCTTCCCTCCACTCCACCCTCCCCCCTCCCCCTCTCTCCTCCCCTCTCCCCCTCCTCCCTTCCCTCCCCTCTCTCCTCCCCCCTCCCCCTCCTCCCTTTTCTCCCCTCTCTCCTCCTCCCTCCCCCATCCCCTCCCCCTCCCCATCCCCTCCCCCTCCCCTCCTCCCTCCCCCATCCCCTCCCTCCCCTCCCCTCCCCCTCCCCATCCCCTCCCCCTCCCCTATCCCCCTCCTCCCTTCTCCCCCCTTCCCCTCTCCCTCTCCCCCTCCCCCATCCCTCCCCTCCTCTCTCTTCTCTGGAGAGATACCCATCCACTCTGACCGACGCCCTACCTCATTAAGCTTCGCTGCCTTGTTTGTTGCTACTCTCCATCTCACATCTAAATTCTTTCTAGCACCAAGACAAAATCTCTGTTTCATCCATCTCTAGTAATTCACGCAGCAGAGCCAGCCAAGAAAACGTAAGAACTCTCCTGGGAAACTGCCCTGAACAATGCTCCATGCCTAGCCTTCTCCTAGTCTTCCTCCCGCCTTGTCTTCTAGTCTCGTCCCCAGCCAAAGTCTCGTTGCCAATACTTTGTGGGGACAGAGGCCTACTCACTCTCTAACCTAGCCACCTGCCCTGCTCTGCTTTCTCTCTCAGCCAAAACCTCTTTGCCACACTCATGCAAGAGGATTGCCTTATAAGAGACCTAGGCCTCCTCTCTCTCCAGCTCTCTACGCAAGCTCTACTGCCTTGTCTTGCCTGATCTGTCCCGTCTCTTCACAACCTGGCTCCTTCATCTCAGGTGTGGCAACATCTGTCTGGTAGCAAAAGCCAGCACCTGGCCTGTCGCCCGTCCCTCCTAAAGATGCCACGTGCCTCGTTCCTCCTACCTCCCTTGCCACCACTTTAAAAAGCATTGACAAGAGGGCCGGCGCCGCAGCTCAACAGGCTAATCCTCCACCTTGCAGTGCCGGCACACGGGGTTCTAGTCCCGGTCGGGGCACCGGATTCTGTCCCGGTTGCCCCTCTTCCAGGCCAGCTCTCTGCTGTGGCCAGGGAGTGCAGTGGAGGATGGCCCAGGTGCTTGGGCCCTGCACCCCATGGGAGACCAGGAAAAGCACCTGGCTCCTGCCATCAGATCAGTGCAGTGCACCAGCCGCAGCGCGCTGGCCGTGGCGGCCATTGGAGGGTGAACCAACGGCAAAGGAAGACCTTTCTCTCTGTCTCTCTCTCTCACTGTCCACTCTGCCTGTCAAAAAAAAAAAAAAAAGGCATTGACAAGAATTGGCCATAAGAGGGTTCGTTTTAAACTGCTATTTGCACCACCACCCAAACTCTACGGGGCCACACTTTCCAATCTCCCTCTTAGGTTTCTTCTTAGATTGACAAGGGCAGCCACCCTAGCTGCTCTGACCCAAAAAGTTGACATTTTCTCACTTGCCAAATTATCAAAGGTGGTCCCTCCACCTGTCTGATTCCTCTGCTCCCCCGTGTCAACATATGCCTTGATAAACTATACAGCTCTCTGATCACCACTGCCTAATAAGGATATTATGTCTTTAAAACCTTGCTGTACTTCCTAAGATGCTGTGAACTGCTGTTATTGTAATCATGATCAGTTTAAACCTTTTGTCATCCACAATGTGATTCTCAAAAATATTTATATCTTTTAACAAACCGTTGTTGGCTCTATGATTAAATGTCTTATCTTCTAGACTAAATATTTTCCTAAGACTCCTAAGACCTAGGTAAAGTAACTCCATTTCATCAGTGTTCCAAAGCTGCTTTAACAATTCCCAAACTCGAAAACCGCTTTAATGCAACTGTGGGTTAAAATGCTGTATGTTCTCTTAAAAGATGTTTTTCTCTTAATTTGGAGGTATTGACAATTGTGTTAGGATGCAAATTGAAGGGACCAGTAGGTA